TGTCATTTTATTTCTGTACATAATGTTTTTTACAATGGAATATTCGTGGCCTTAGGGGCAATTGAGGAAAACTCCAATTGTTGCTTTCCCAGTTGTCCCCAGTATGTGTTGGGTTGCAAGAGCCCAAAATTCGTTCTGCTGTCATTCGCCCCATTTTGGGCTAGTTGCGGATACATTCTTCCAATCCTTTACCTGACGAATCATTTAATGAAAGCATGCTTCTTGTACGTGTTGATATACTGTATAAACAAGCTTTTATTTATTCCCTAGCGCTGTATGACCCTAGTAGGTTTAGCGCTTCTTTTTTTATTATAATAATAATAATTTTATTTATTCCCTGCTGCATTATACTGCAGCTCGTATTTATTTACACTGATGGTTTACAGTTTGCTCTCTCTATCTTTCTCCCTCTTGTGCATTCTGTATCTCTGATATTGCACTTTTAATTTCATCTCTACCACAGCCCATATTGTTGTTGGTGATTTTAACGCTCACCATCACCTGTGGGGAGGGTCCCACTGTGACTCTCGTGGTGATGAGTTGGGGAGACTTCTCGCATCTCATCCTCTTCATGTTTCAAACACGGGTGCTCCTACCCATTTTGACTCTCATACTCAGTCTCTCTCCTGCATTGATCTTTGTCTATTCCTGGCTCGTTGCACTTGATTTCTTGTGGTCTGTTCTTCCAGATTTACACTATAGTGATCATTTTGTGTACCCGACCATTTTGTAGTCCTCGTTGGCAATTTGCTTGAGCAGATAGGAACTTATACTCCCATCTTGCCACCTGTTGGGAGGACCCCCTTTTGCCCTCTGATGATCTGGCACACAACTTTTCGACCTTGGTCTTAACTGGCAACGGGTTCTATCCCCCAAACCTCAGGCAGGCATTCTCAGGCATGCGTACCTTGGTGGTCTCCTACATGCGCCCGTGCAGTGCATTTAAAACGTGGTGAGTGGGGCCATTGTTGATATAATTGTACAGTGGATTGTCTGTTGGATTTCAAGCGGGCAAGGACAGTTGCTCGCATCATCATCTGTGTCACTAAACGCACTTATTAGCAAGACTGTGTCTACCATTAACTCGTCTTCCCCTATGTGCATGATTTCGAAAAAGGTGCGGAAATTGTGTGGCAAGTACACTCTGGACCCAGCTCCTATTTTGAGAGTTGCTGAACCCTTAGAAGTTACCACAGCAATCGGGAACTATCTTGTCCGCATCTCCCAAGGGTTTCATCTCTGTCCTTCATTTGTGCCTAAACCTACCAAAGAGCAATTGCTTTAAGATTTCTCCTCCAATGGGTTGGAGCCGTATAACATACCTTTTACTGTTCAAGAACTGGAGGCCACGCTTTCCATTTGCCAGCCGTTGGCACCGGGACCTGATGATATCCACATCAGTATGCTTCAACATCTCTATTCTACGGCCCTTCCTGTTCTTTTACATCTTTTCATCTAATCTGGACCGAGGGGTTCTCCCTCAACGCTGGAAATCAGCTATTCTACTACCGTTTCGCAAACCAGGTGCCTCAGTACTTGACACCTCTCACTATTGTCCCAGTGCCCTGACCAGTATGGTCTTCAAAGTGATGGAACGATTGGTGAATAGACATCTGATGTGGTTCTTAGAGACACACAATAGCCTTTCCCCTTGTCAATATGGCTTTTGCAAAGCCCGCTCTACTGTAGACCCCTTGCTCCACTTAGATACGTATATTCACAATGCCTTTGCTAACAACCACTCTGTCCTAGTGGTCTTTTTTGATCTAGAGAAGGCATATGACACCACTTGGAGGTATAACATCCTAGCCTAACCCCACTCCTTAGGCCTCTATGGTAATCTACCAAACTTCATCGCTGCTTTCTTGTCCAATAAACATTTTCGGATCCGTATTGGCGCCTTGCTATCCTCGGACTTTGTACAAGCCGAGGGAGTTCCACAAGGTTGTGTCCCCTGCACTACTCATTTTCTCTTAGATATAAATGACCTACCTTCCATTCTTCCTTCGCATATTTGGTCGTCACTATGTTGATGACTTCGCCATAAATTACTCGGGTGTCGACTGTCGATTAGTAGCACCCACTCTTCAGGCTGTGATAGACCAAGTCTCCCACTGGACCACTTCTCACGGCTTTAAATTTTCTAGTACAAAAGCCCAGTTCATTACCTTCGCTAGACGTCTTCTTATTCCAGATACTTCCTCGTACTTACACGGTTCATATATTCCGGCATGTGATACGGTCAAGTTTCTGGGCCTGCTCTTTGATCGCCGACTGATATGGAGATCACACATTTCTTCTCTAAAGACAACTTGCCATGGTTGGCTAAATCTCCTTAAAGTTCTCTCTCATTGTTCATGGGGAGCAGATCATCGCACTCTCCTCCATTTGCATTCCAGTCTTGTCCAAACTGGATTATGGTGACCAAATCTATTCTGTGGCCTCTCCCACAACTAAGTTAGATCCCATTCATCACCAAGGTCTCCGTCTGTGCCTTGGTACCTTTCATTCATCCCCTGTTGAGAGCCTCTATGCAGACGCGAATATTCCATCCTTGTCCAATTGCCATGATGCTCGTTGCCTTCGCTATTATGTTCGATCTCATGACCTCCACAATCCTTCCGTATATAGGATGGTCACTGGTGTTAGTAGACATTCATTATTTGTTCGTCGCCCCTGCTTACTCTGCCCCTTTTCTCTCTGCTTCCATTCACTCTTTGTCTTCTCTTCGGTTACCACCTTTCTATGTTCATGTAGCATAAAAAAACCATACCCCCGGCCGGGATTGAACCCGCGGTCATAGAGTCTCAAAACTCCAGCCCGTCGCGCTAGCCACTAGACCAGCTAGCCACAATAAGATTCATCCAACTAGGTATATTTCTACACCATAAGTCATGTTGACGGCAGTGAAGGGACTTGAGCTAGAGTTCGTCACGGCCACGCTAGCTGGAGATTCGTCTGTAAAAACTTGCATTTGTGGTCACAGAGGTGCCTGTGCTAACTTTCCTATGGTGTAGAAATATACCTAGTTGGATGAATCTTATTGTGGCTAGCTGGTCTAGTGGCTAGCGCGACGGGCTGGAGTTTTGAGACTTCATGTAGCATCTCACTTTTCCCTGTCCCCTTGGGAAGTTCCAGCTGTTTGTGCCTGTTCTTTCCCACTGCCATGCGTAAAAGTCCAACTCCCTACAGTGGCTTCCCGCTCTCTTTTTCTTGACCACTTCCGCTCTCATTCTCATGTCACCGCAGTGTACACCGATGGTTCCAAGTCTTCTGATAGCATTGGATTCGCAGCAGTGTTTCCAGACAGTGTTGAGCAAGGACATTTATTGTCCTCAGCTAGCATTTTTACGGCTGAATTGTATGCTATTCTTGTACCACTTATCCATATAGCATCTATGCCTGCATCAGCATTTGAGGTCGTTTCAGACTCCCTTAGTGCTTTACAGGTTATACGAAAATTTGATACACCTCGCCCCCTAGTTCTTTGTATCCAACTTTGGCTACGCCGTATCTCTAGCAAACACAAAGATAGTTTTTTTGCTGAGTCACTGGTCATGTTGATGTACAGGGCAATGAAAAGGCAGACACTGCTGTGCAGTCAGTAGTATATGACCTCCCAGTTTCATACAGAGGTGTGCCATTCACAGACTATTTTGCAGAAATTGCTACCCACCTTCACACCCATTGGCAACAACATTGATCTGATCTGCCCCATAAAAAACTTCGTTCTATTAAACCGAGTATAGGTTTCTGGCCGTCTTCTTGTCATCAATGCTGGGGTTGGGAGACTATTCTCTTCTGTCTTCGCATCAGTCACACTTGTCTTACTGACGGGTATCTCATGGAGAGGCACCCTGTTCCTCTCTGTGAAAATTGTCAAGTTCCAGTATCTGTTAGTCACATTCTGTTGGACTGCCCACTCTATCAACAAGCATGCAGAATTTACCTCCAACGTCGTCTCCGCTCTGCTGCCCTTTCTTTACCGTCCCTTCTTGCTGATGGGACCCTCCTTAATCCAGACTCTCTCATTGACTTTTTGACAGCGACTGATTTACTACGCAAACTCTGATGATGATGCCTCTAGCACTCTCCTCCGTCCTTTCTACCTTAATCTCTTGCTACCCTCTACCCCTGCACTATGCACTGCCCCCCTGCATCCTTCCTGCCCTGCTGCGCTGTCTAACACTTGCAGTTTAGCGCTTCTTTTGATTATAATAATAATCCACTATTTCTGAGCTAACACCCATATATACTTGGCTGGATGCCCAAGCTCCTACCACTCAAACTCATATCTATATTTAGAAGCAAATGGAGGCTTTGCAATGTAGTGTTTCAAGTATATACATGGTGCAGTTTTTGAACCGTAGTATCGACACACCTCTGGCAAGACAGTGATGGAGTGAGTGATGAAAGTGTTTCTTCTTTTACAGGTCACCCTGCCTTGGTAGGAAATGGCCAATGTATTTAAAAAAAAAGGTCACTGTATATTTCACAACAAGTGTAACTACTTTTTAGAATTATGCAACTAAATCATACAAATTTTTTTGTCATTTCCATTTCTCTGTATACATGCATTTTCTTCATAAATCAACATTTAGTTAAGCTACAGCTTATATCACAAGACAGTGTTGGTATATATTCAGTACATGCAACACACAGTATTATCTAGGATTTAAGTTAACAAGACAAGAATTATACATTAAGGCACCTTCCTTGAAGGCAGAAACCAACACAGCCACTGTTCCCAAGAATGACAGTTTTTAAAGTTTATGGTATATTCTGTCATGGCGATTTTAATAAAATGTAAATATATGTTGTGTATCTTTATATGTGTATGCTTCTAAACTGTTGTATTCTGAGCACCTCTGCAAAAACAGTGATAATGTGCGAGTGTGGTGAAAGTGTTGAATGATGATGAAAGTATTTCTTTTTGGGGATTTTCTTTCTTTTTTGGGTCACCCTGCCTCGGTGGGAGACGGCCCCGACTTGTTGAAAAAAAAAAAAAAAGTAAATATCTTCATTCATGTTGCCAATACAAACTAAAAAAAAACAAAATTCATATAAATTCTTGGAACACAGAAGTGAGTTGCAGGAAAAGAAAGACACAAAGTATAGCAAGAAAAATGACACCTTATATTAATAGGTAAAACACATGTACAACAGTTATGTATCTTTATTCCAAAATAAAGATACCCAACTGTTGCACATGTGTCTTACTTATCAGCTTGTCAGTATTGTATACTATTATTATATTCAAGACTTTTTATTGTTACAACAGGTTGCCTACACAAGGCACTTTCCAAAATCTCTTGTATGTGAAAGTTCATAATAAAAGGTCTCCTTTGCCATACATCTCTTTTTCCACCAATTTGATTTAAATTTTTTTCTATACTTCCTGATTATAAAACTATTCATAACCTTGGCATACAAGCAGTAATAATCATCTGGTGCAGAGCACATAATTCTTAAGTTTTCTTTACATTCTATATTGTAAATTTATTAATCGACTATATGGACAGATAACTTAGTACTCACAAAGCAGCAGTCATGTTTCTTATTAAATAAAAACTCTCATGATCATAATTAATTCAAACATCTACCACTAAATCAGACTTTATTTGTAACAGTAACATGACTCAAACTGATCTGAAGTAAGACTAGAAAGAGATCGAACAATATTGTACATCAAACCTTTGGTATTACAGATCTATGTTCTCAACTACAGTGAAGAAACCACTGCTTATGAGTAAAAATGTAGGTATACTTAGGAAACTCCATGGGGAAGTGTAACAGAATTCTTCCTCCATATGCCATGCATGTCGTAAGAGGCGACTAAAATGCCGGGAGCAGGGGACTAGTAACCCCTTCTCCTGTATACATTACTAAAGTTAAAAAAAAAAAACTTGTTTTTCTTTTTGGGCCACCCTGCTTTGGTGGGATGCAGCCAGTGTGTTGAAAGATTCTCTAATGAATGTGAACACTCTTCTTTGTTCAAGTGAGTGCAGACTATGTAGTATCTACATAGTGTCTATATTGTGCCTTTTAATTCTTTATGTAGTGTCTGACTGACAAAGTATTTTTTCCATGGTCACTGAATTACACAGTACAACATTTTGCCAGACCCAAAAAGATCATCAGGCAATACTGGAAGCTGAATAACTGACTGCCAGATAATCGATGACGCACTGACTTTATTGGGTTATCCTGGGCGGCTAACCCTCCAGGTTAAAAATCCAAACAAATCTTATCTTATTACTGTACTATAATGGTATATTTCACTAAAAATTTTAGTGTACATGAGTAATGTAACAAAAAGTGAGGAACATGACTTAAAAAGGAAAAGGGGATGTGGGATGCTGCTGTTAATGCTTACATGTCTGCTGGCTCTACGGTGGTATACCTGGAGGGTGTTCCATGGGTCTATGCCCCTGTCGCCCAGTCCATGACCAGGCCTCACAGTTTTTGCAGTCAAGGTATCAGCGATTACCAAGGGTTTACCGTACAAAACCCAAACACGAGGAGAGATGAATAAAACTACCTGTTGTGGCAGCTGTTCCATTATCTTGTGTACCACAAGCTCAAAAATTAAAAACAGCTCAATCAGCACTGCATACTGATAACTTAATTGTTGAAAAATAAATTTCGTGTTGCTGTTTCTGACAGGTATGTTGAAAATGGTACAAAATATTGGCAAGTTAATGATTAAGATATGTAATAGTTGGATGTCAACAATTAAGATACACAACTGTTGCATGTGTGTCTTATTATCTTGTTGGTATTTTATGCCATTTTCAATTTTATATCCATTATTGATGGATTTATAAATAGATGGTCCATCCAGTTCACCGACAGGAGGCTAAAATGGAGCTGAAATTACATTCTGCAGCAGACCGATCTTAACGAGTAACATAGATAATACATCCTTTATATAGCAAAATATTTTGCTGTCTATGGTAAGAAGAATGGTTTTTTAGCAGAAAGCATTTAAAAAATTGTACCATAATATATTTCTAAAGAACAACCTGGCAATGTAGGAAATAAATGCTTTTCCAATTGTGTTCTGAAGTGACTGTTTTCCTGTGCAAGTCAAATTTTCTTACTAATTCTGATTGAAATCTGATAATAAAAATTAAACACATTTACCTTCTTGACAGTAATTAGAATAATTTTTGAAAATAGATACGAGTAGATAATCCTTTACTTTGGACTATGTAATTCAATGACTGATATGTTAGAGACTAATTCATAACACAAAATCAAAGTAGCCATAATATCAAAACTACCAATGATTGCACTAAACACATATCTGCACATCACTTGAAGTACTGTCTCTCCAGAGAGACTATGTAAAGCTTTACTGAAAATCACTGAGCCTTGAGCTTACCTAGATCACTGACTTGTTGAGCCTTGAGATTACTTAGCTCAGTAACCCCTCTCCTAAGTCTGTACAACCTTCAAAACCCACCCTTCATTCAGGGATTATATTTATATATAATGCATAAATGCCAATGTACTTTGCTTATATACTTCATGGTGTGTACACAGTTATACCATGCTTGGTTTGGTGCTGACAGAGAACTTGAGTCTCCACCTCTTTGTTATACTGGTCGACACCCTCACATTTAGCCCTCATGTAAAAAAATAAAATAATAATAATAATAAATCTAGGTAGTAGGTTGGTAGACAGCAACCGCCCAGGGAGGTACTACCGTCCTGCCAAGTGAGTGTAAAACGAAAGCCTGTAATTGTTTTACACGATGGCAGGATTGCTGGTGTTTTTTTATTGTCTCATACACATGCAAGATTTCAGGTACATCTTGCTACTTCTACTTACACTTAGGTCACACTTCACATACATGTACAAGCATATACATGTATATACACACACCCCTCTGGGTTTTCTTCTATTTTCTTTCTAGCTCTTGTTCTTGTTTATTTCCTCTTACCTCCATGGGGAAGTGGAACAGAATTCTTCCTCCGTAAGCCATGCGTGTTATACGAGGCGGCTAAAATGCCGGGAGCAAGGGGCTAGTAACCTCTTCTCCTGTATATATTACTAAATGTAAAAGGAGAAAATTTCATTTTTCCTTTTGGGCCACCCCGCCTCGGTGGGATACGGCCGGTGTGTTGAAAGAAAGAAATAATAATTAAGTAATAAAAGTAATAATATATTCATATTAATTAAATAGTAAAATAATAATAAAATAATAGCTATAGTAATAAAAGTATTATATTCATGGGGAATGCTAAACCTACAGAATAATACAGTTGTAATATTAAATAAATAATAAAAATGATAATAATAATAAAACTGCTGTACTCTGTGATGAATTAAATGAGCATTAATTGTCGTACATACAAGTGTATGTCAGAGATGCACTCTACCAAATGTCATCATTATCTTCTACTGTAAAGATATCTGCAGGACTCTCAATAGTGTTTTCCTTCAAGGGAACTTTGGTAATTTTCAAGGTTTCACTGACTGTTTCTGCAGGCTTCATCGAAGGTTCCTCTGCCTCCGGTGTTTTGGTTTGTTCGTCTTCCTCGACCGCTGGGTTTTGGGAGTCGCTGGGCATATCACTCTCTTCGAGGATGGGATCTTCCAGGATACTGCCAAAGCTACTCTGATGGGCGAATGCACCGGCTTTCGTTAGACTTGTGGTGTCAGTGTCAATATTGCTATCTGTGAGCTGGTCTTGGGATGCCATACTTGTGGCCTGGGGGTTGTCCATAATAATGCTCGACTCTACAAGAAAGAAGTTACTATTACTGTCATTCTTCACATAATGCTAATATCTTCTGTATATGCTATTTTTTTTTTAACATAATGGTCATCTCCCACTGAGGAAGGGTGACTTAAAAAAGAAGAAAACCATAAAGTTTTCTTCTTTTTACATTTAGTAATTTATACAGGAGAAAGGGTTACTGGCCCCTTGCTCCTGGCATTTTAGTTGTGTCTTAAGGCACTCATGGCTTACGGAGGAGGGATTCTTTTTCACTTCCCCATGGAGATGAAAGGAAATAAATAAGAACTAAAACTATTAGGGAAACAGAAGAAAACTCAGATGGGTGTGTATACATGTACATGCATGTGTAGTGTGACCTAAATGTAAGTTGAAGTAGCACGATGTACTTGTTATCTTGTGTGCTTATGAGACAAAAAGAGAAGACTAAATAAAAAATTCATGTATATGTTGTGTGTATGTGTGAATAAGTATGTACTTGCCGAGTTGTGTTTGTCGATGGTGAGTCTCAGCTCCTGGCCCCACCTCTTAGACTACAACTGCTGGCATTCTTGGTTCCTGGCCTTGTGGGCTTTATCATACTTACTCTTGCAATTCTATTGAATCTGCCTTTACCATTCTGTCATCTAGCTTATTTCACTTATTCACCACCCTGAAACTGAAGAAGCATTTCCTAACATTCTTGTGGCTCCCCTTGCTCTTATGCCTTTCATTTAAAAAATCTGTCCCTAACTGCTTTGTCAAGGCCTCTGAGTATCTTCTGTGTTGTAATCATGTCTTCCCTAGTTGTTCTTTCTTCTAAAACAATACAACACAATTTATTTATGCATTTGCCAGGTTCAATTCCTTTAGTCTCTTCTTATACCACAATTTCCTCACCACTGGGACTAATCTTGCTGCAAACCTCTGGACTTTTTCTAGCTTAATCAGGTGGTGACTACATGCTGTTAGGTAAAAGGACACAAGTGCAACTAATGTGACATTTTATTGTGGCATCGTTTTGCTCTCCAGGAGCATACTTATGATAAACCTATGTTGTTCATAGAGTACTAAAAGATTCTTTATTGAGGTTTCTGAAGGCAGGCATATGCTGTATATGTTATGTGATTTATATGTACCTATAGCGATATGTTGGGTGTGATACTCACTCCAACATATTTCTCTAGAGATATTTGCAGTTTTTCACCACTCAAGATGTATTCCATACCTGGTTGCCTCTCTCCATCCCCAATTTTCATGACCTTGCACTTGAATGGGTTGAATTCTAGTAACCACTTGTTTAACCATTCTTGCAGTTTGTCCAGGTCTACCTGTATCCTGTATCTATCCTCTTCCTTTTGTACTTCAAATAGTTTTATGTCACCAGCAAACACTGATACAGTACATATGAGTCAATTCTCTCTGACAGGTCATATACATATGTTTAAAATAGTGGCAGTCCTAGAACTGATCCTTGGGGAACCCCACTTGTTACACATTCCCATCTTGAAATATCTTCCCATACATCACCCTTTGTTTTCTAATATCTATTTATTGATCTACTGTAGAACTACCTCATCTCTGTTTTCCCCTCTAATTTGGGACTCAATCTCTGGTGGGGTACACTGTGAAATGTTTTCCTAAAATCCAAGAATATGCAGCTGACCTATCCTTGTCTGTCTGGCTTGGCTGCCATTATTCTGTCACAGAACTCCAGGAGGTTAGTGAGGGAAGACTTACCTTCCCTAAATAATTTCTTTTTAACAAAAAATCAGGAAGCGCAGTGATACTGGTCTATAATTATGTTTCCTGTCTGTCCCCTTGCTTGTACAGGTGCTTCTCGACTTACAATGGGGTCACATTTCAACAAATTCATTGTAAGTCGAAAATATCGAGTCAAATATGAATGTGTGCTAAATAAATAACTAGTGTCACTGAATAGGGTAATGAGGATTTAAATTTGTGTATGTTTATAGTAGTAGGCTGGTAGACAGCACCACCCAGGGAGGTACTACTGTCCTACCAAATGAGTGTGAGACAGAAACCTATATTTGTTTTACATGATGGTAGGAGGGCTGGTGTCTTTTTTGTCTCATAAACACACAAGATAACAGGTATATCTTGCTACTTTTACTTACACTTAGGTCACACTACACATGCATGTACACATTTTATGTATACACACTCATCTGAGTATCCTTTGATTTTATCTTAAGAGTTCTTGTTCTTATTACTTTTCCTTTCATGTCCATGGGGAGGTGGAATAAAAATCGTTCCTCTGTAAGCCATGCGTGTTGTAAAAGTCAACTAAAATGCCGGGAGCAATGGGCTAGTAATCCCTTTTCCTGTATAGCTTACTGAAAATAAGAAGAATAATCTGGTTAGCTAGACTTGAGTCCTAGAGGTGGGAAGTACAATGCCTGCACTTTAAAGGAGGGGTTTGGGATATTGGCTGTTTGGAGTGACATTTAAATTGTCATATCTGAGCACTTCTGCAAAGACAGTGATTAAGTATGAATGATGGTGAAAGTGTTGAACAATGATGAAAGTTTTTTTTTCCTTTTGGGTCACCCTGCCTCAGTGGGAAATGGCCAATGTGTAAAAAAAACAAAAAAATTTTTTATCAGTACAATGACTGTTTGAAGGAGCATCTAAACCGTCATATATGTGTGCCTCTGGCAACACAATAATAGTGTGAATGATGGTGAAAGTGTTTCTTTTTCATGTCACCCTACCTCGGTGGAAGACGGCCAGCATGTTAAAAAACTAAATTGTTTTCAGTCAAATGCATTGGAGTTTGGTATCAAAATGTGATTTATGTGTTTTATAATTGTGGATAATAAAACCAAAATTAAGAAAACAAAAAGACTTGCATTTATCCAGACTATCTCGTGTCCACTACCACCTCTGTAAATGGGTTAACAGTGTCCAGTGTACTTTATATGGTTTTCAGGCATCAATACTTCAACATATGAAGATGCTTGTTAACCAAAACATGCATCATTCTGTTTTTAATGTTAGAAATAACAAGATTAAAATTATTACTCACCTCCATCTCCAGGTATGCGGTCATCTCCAGGTATGTGATCATCTTCTGGTATGTGATCACCTTCTGGTATATGGTCATCACCAGGTACATGTTCATCTTCTGGTATGCAGTTCATCACCAGGGATGCGATAATTTCCGGATATGCGATCATCTCCAGGCATTCGCTCGGGAATCTTGCGAGCTGGACATGAGGCGTGCTGAACCTAACTCTGGCTGATCTGGCTCGATCCTCTCCCAGTCGGGACCCAAGTGGAACTTCCGTGGTGTCCTCTGCTGTTAAGGCTGGGGGGTCTACTAAGTCATCTTCATCTTTATAAACAGTTTCTTCACGAGTATCTGATGGCAAGTTTTATGTATCATAAACTGTATATATAAGCAACAGTTCCAAAAGTGTACTGTATATATATAACACATGTAACACAGAACACAAACTAATGTAATTTTTGTTATACCCCAAAAGCAAATTCAATCTCTATTTTAAAAAAGAAAAAAGTATCAAAAGACTCCCCATAAAAGTTGACAAGAAACAGTAAAAATGTATCTTAGATGTAAGACACACAACACTGGTACTGTTTTAAACCCAGCTCATTCTCCACTCACACTGGCTTAGGGAGGCTTAAGCCCCCAAATAAGAATAGTAATCATAATAATGCTGCTTCAAACAAGTCCCCCTACCCTCCTTCCAAACAGAGTCATCCTAAAGTAGCCCTAGTATAAAAATTCTGGTGCTCCCCCTAACCACTGAGCATAACAAGCATTTGGTTTCCAACTATTTAACTATGCAGTTTCCCTTGCTAGACATTACCTTCCTTTTTATGCTTTTTTAAGTAGTTAAGTTTACTGTACATAAATTTAAGAAAAACAAGGCTGAAAGAGCTAATATTTAACTTTGGTCTCAGGTTGTTCAGAAACTGATGCATGAGCATTCATTCCTAGACCCATGATGAAAAAGAAATGAGGTGGGAAAGGAAGTAATTCTTGAATCTAGGATGAAAGAGACATGAAGTGGGAGAAGAGGTACTGCTGGACCTACAATAGGAGAGACACTGGGTGGAAAGGGTAGTTATTCCTGGACTCAGAATGGGAGAGTCCAAATTACCTGTAGTGTTTGGAGGAGCTGGAGTATCAAGGCTGAGTTGGACTCTGCCTTTGGTCACCTTATCCAACAGTAGACCCAAATGTTTTTTCAGCTTATTCGTGTCAGATGGCACAGTCAACTCAGGGACTGACACAGCATCACGAGGACCTCTACCCGCATAGTTCTCAAGAGGAAGGTCACACTGGCATCAGTTATCTCCTCCCAGCCCTGAAGTTGAAAATACTTTAGAGAATATATGCACCTAGAAATATCATCTAGAAGTCAACAGACTGTAGTGAAATCTATTAGAGATTTATGTTTAATAAATGATAGTAGATATTTATAAGAGATCACAAGGAGCTTTATGTTTATAAGAATGATATTAGAGCTTTGTTTATAAAATATATGTATAATTTCAATTTACAAATTAAAATTTAAAAAAAGGTAGTATGAGCTTATACCACTCAATTAAATGATGTGTGTACCACACTATCAGGTTAAGAATCGTTGAAACTGGCCAGTAACTTGACAACCCAGTAAGATATATTTATATTCACATCATTAAGTCTTCAAATTCACACCTACATTTTCACAATACTTTCATGGTAACAAGTAAGTATTTGAATCTAATCTATTTATATTCAGTATACTCTGAACCCATGTGCTATTTAGGAAGTATTGTCAAAAAATGAAATGCTGCATGTGATCGCTTTTCAATTCAATTCAAAGTTTATTCTCTATAAGGATTACAATGCTGAGTTTACAGAATTTGGTTATTGAGTGGTTTACATGTAGTAGAATAATAATTACAGAGTGTACCACTAGAACACCTAGCATGGCTAGGCATTTCGGGCAGACTTAGATTAAATCTTAAGTTTAAAATATTACAAAATTAT